CCCCCCCCCCCCCCCCCCGGGATGGACTACAATCTCAATACAAATGAGTAAACTAAACAGGAGATTGTTGTCCTCAACTGTGCCACTGCGGTGTAATAAGCAAGAACGACATAGAAACAGCAACTTAATGACACTACTTTATTTACTTTAATACTATAACTTTTAAATGTCTCGGCGCGCATGGTCTTACCTTTCCCAACACTGCCGGGCTCTTTGGTGAGATGCCATCTTTGCTACCCTGCTTGCTTTCCAAATGGTCAACATAAGGTGGCTGTAAACTGGTCTGGTTGGGTGAGAAGCATGCTGTGCTTCCAGCATTCTACAAATACAACAGTGCAACATGTGATTAGCATTTTCAAAATGGATGTTAAGGGTTATAGAATTTGTTGAGGCCGAACTCGGCTTCATAAACATGTCAATAACTAGGGTTGTCGAGAAGCGTACAATGAGGCCTTCAAACGATCCTCCACTCATCCAACATGGACATGAAAAAACATGTCAACAGTCCTCTTAATGCATCATTTTAGAACTATAAAACATTGAATCAGTGAATCTCACAGCACCATAAATGGATGGTCATTGAGGATGGGTTGCAAATCACCAAAAGGGGCATGACAAGACCATAGAAGACTACAAGTTTTAAAGAGACATGATGGCACTGTTTAGTTTATTCTCCCGGTGATACTTATGGCCTATGACTTGAGAAGGATTCAGAGGGAACAAATGATTATTGGTACCTGGAGCTACCAATGTTACTTGGAGAGCAATGCAAGGTGTGTCACCGGCACATTTATTAGGATTTTCATTATAATGGAGGAGCATTTTTATATAATATAACGGGGAACTGCTTTACCTGCCAAATTATTTGTATTTTCTGAGATGTACACATCTCTGCCACACAGCACAACCCTGTCTGGAAGTATAGGACACCTGATATTTCTCTGCTGCAGTTAAGTGACACTTACAGGTCTTGTCCTACCCCCAGCCTGTGACAGGACTATGAAAGGAGAAGCAGCAAAGTGATGAGCATCTCATCATTCTGATCTCCTCTCCTGTTGTTAGCACATAAGCACTCAAGCATAACTGATTGGCTTATTGTGCTGTGCAACTTCCTCTCCCAGTCTGAACTCTGCTGTGTTCCCAGAGGCAGATTGCAGGTCAAATTCTTTCACTGCTTGATTTTTTTTTTTATATCTGCCTGGAGTTCAACTTTAAATCATCACCATTAATTAAAGTTATCAATTGTATTTTCACATAAATACAATTTTTTCCCCCCAATTTTGGTGCTTGGCCTTCTTCTTGCTTAATATCAGAAAGTCTTTATTCACACAAATCAAACTATACAGACTTAGGATTAATCCAAAGAAAAATATACTTCAAGGATAGGTGTGATATCTTAGGGACTGGATTATAGGGACTACACTTGCTTCATACACATTTAAAGTACAGTTTGATGATTTGGGATGGATTACCTGTCCTGTGCAAATCTGAGTATTGATGCATTGCGGAGATAGACTTTGCGTGTCACCTTGTGAACTTGGGGACACCGACAGTAGGTAGTGGCAATGGTTGTTGGGAGATGGGGGTAGGCTGATGTGCTGGGGACTGTTTGTAGTTCCAAGTGGGGAATGTTGTGGAGAGCACTGGGGACTTAAAAATGTGGAAGACATGGTGTTTGGGTTTGAGGCCTCCATACAGTGGTTGTTCATTAAGCATGGCATTGGTTGTGGCGCACATGATCCCAACTTCTCTGTTGCATTGTTGTTTTGGGCTTTCATGGTCATTTGCTTAGAGGCAAAGGGACAGCTCGATACATTTTCCTGTTTGATCTGTACTCCAAAGAAGTGTTGAGATGGAAGTGCCTTATCTTGAGGCCCGCAGCTCCCTTTCCTCTTCTGTAACTGAAGTCTAAGCTCTTCCACCTGTCTCTGCTCTTGCTGAAGCTTCCAAGTCAACTCATTAATGACCTTTTGCTTCTCCACCAACATTTTGTCTTTTTCAGCGTCCATGCCTTCCAGTTCTGCTTGGTAGCTGCTACTGTTGATACTGCTCATAAGACTTTCTTCAGCACTTAGGTGAATTGGGGAGGGGTGTAGGCCAAAATGAGGAGAAGACATTGGTCCGTCACTGAAGGTATCAGGTAAAGACCCATTAACAGAAAGATCAGAAGAGGCCGGGGATATTGGCGGGGTGGAGCTGGTGCTACCAAACTGATAGAATCCATTTGAGATAACCCCTGCGGATGGATGTGTTTGGTAATTGGACATAGAGTTATTTGGCATAACCGGGAAGGTGACTGTGGTGATCTCTCCAAAATTTGGAACTGCGTTACTACTGCATTCCTGAAAGGGCCTCAGCCGTTCCATCAGGGAGGTCTTTGTACCAGACACGGGCAACCCACGTATTCTAAGCTGCTGTCTCAACTCCGATACCTTGAAAAAGAGAAATAAATGATGAAATATAGCCATATATGCACAACACATACATACACGTATTGTTATCATAGGAGGTGCTCAGCTTTAGGCTCCATGTTGCCTCAGGCAGAATCTCTTTGGGTCATGTGGGGGGGGGGAGAACGGCAGGCGGAGTAGCATGGCCGCTCTGCTGCACAATGCCTGCAGTGTGCCTGCTGCCCCCTTTCCAGTTAGAGTGTCCTAGAGTGTTCCTAAGAGCCGAGTGGGGAGATGTGCAAGGGCCATACACATGTCCTTGCCCAGCTCTTATCAACTTAGGACGCTCTGGTCTGTGTCCTGCCCAGCTTCTGATAATCAGAGACGTCACTGGGTGGGATGCTGGCAGAGGCCACCCCCACCTTCTGCCACTGAGGGTGAAAAGGCTAGGGACACCCCACATACAACTTTAATGTCCCAGTGTTCATTCCATCCACCTGGGGTGGATGGAATTGGAATTTGACTGGTTGCGATAAGCAACGCTCACAATTTCATTTTCTCTTTCACCCCATGCATGAGTCTCAAGGTCTTCTTCTTTAGGCAGCAGACAATAACCTACTTTTAGGTCATCCAGATTGGATGGCAGAAGTCCTGGCTTCATGGAAGACATGTTAGAATGTCCAGAGAAGTTGGTCTTTACTGGAGACAACGAAGGACTGCTGACTGTTGGCGTGTTGGCATTCCGGTTCATTTGTTCATTTTGCTGCCTATGAAGAAGCAGAACATTTGCAAATGAAATATCATGTAGGAATTATTTTTGGAGCATCACTTCTAATCCATTGAAATTTTAGTAAAGTACAAACATTGTTTATTTGTTCCCTGTCTGGCATCATATTGTTTAGGGTTTCTTACTCATAGATCAGGGTTAGGAGACTTGGCACTCCAGCTATGGCAAACCTACAAATCCCTTCATGCCTCTGGGAGTCATGCCTGTGGCTCTCAGTCTTGCAATGCCTCATAGGATGTGTAGTTTTACCACACCAGATAGCCAACCTTGGTACGGTATGGTTCACGTCTATCTTTGGCATGGTTCACGTCTATCTTTGGCGTGGTTCACGTCTATCTTTGGCGTGGTTCACGTCTATCTTTGGCGTGGTTCATGTCTTTCACTTTGGTATGGTTCACGTCTAGCTTTGGTGTGGTTCAAGTCTATCACTTTGGTATGGTTCAAGTCTATTTCCCTGTAGAATAAATATCCTGTTAACAATGCCAAATGGTGATGGAAATTATATTTCTTTGGTCTTTGTAGGCTCAGTAAAGGTTGTGTTTTTGCATCCAACTTACTTGTAGCACTACCTAAAGTTCTAAGTACCCACCACTAAAACAGTTGTCACATTTGTTTATGGGCAAGGATAATACAGTGTGTATGTGTTTCTAACATCATTTTTTTCTAACCATGCAGATTGGATACCTCTAGTCAAAAGTAGATCTAAACCCAATGACTAAAACCTTATATAAGCTTATTGCACATTGATGTAGCTTCAGGCTGTTTTCAACCTTATTTTTTAAATCTGCAGCTTACTTGGTGATCCTGCCACCCGCCGAAGCCTGGGAAGCCATAGCCATGCTCCCTCGCAGCTTCCCAGGCACCGAGGACTGTGGCTGTTATGTGAGGAATGTAAGTGGCAAGTGCTTCTGCGCCCTGTGTCCCTGAGCCCGTCACAGAAAGATCTTTGTAATCTTTCTACTGGCTCAGTGACTGAAAACACAACGCCCACTGTTGCAGTTTCGGTGTTGTACTTGGGCTGATTAGGGTGTGCCCAGGCACACCCAGCACACCCTGTGTGCGCCCCTATGTCACAGAGCAAATTAAATGTCATTAGGTTAAGGTTTATATGTCCTTTGCTGAAAGCTTAACCAAGTAGAGACGTACTTGAGATGTGAGTGGTGCATGCTTGGGTAACTGAAGTGCTGCTGTTGCTGTTGACTGAGGATCTGCAGCTGAAGGAAGAGTTGCTGCTGTTGCAGGAGTCGGGCATAGGCGGAGTCCATGGGTGGAGGAGATTTCTCTGCCTTCTGGTCTGGAGGAATGTATTGGTGGTACTTTAGCTTCTTCACCTTTGGCTTGATGTCTTTGGGCTTTTTGTGCCTGTTTTTGGAATCCGTGGAAGGCTTGTTCTGCTGGATCCAGACAAAAAATAAATAAATTAACGGTGCGTTATTTTTTGGCTGCGGGAACCTTGAGTGCCAAATTATTTTAAAACTTAAAAGATATAAAAGGTACAATGTAAACTCTGATAACAGTAAATGCTGCACAGGTGGGCAGAGGCATCAATTAAAGGATTTTCCCCAGAAAAGGGGGGCATGAAAATGAATAAAATGACTGAAATCCAGACAAATATAAAATAGACAATTACTGCAGCTTCATATTCATTATTACAAGCAGTGCAAGTATCTGAATCTGACCTGGTATCAGCCTCTTGACATCAATGTACAGTAGGGGTTAATCTGGGGAAGCGAGGTGCAGCAAAAGGAGCCAATTGGTTGTGCCACAGTGCTCATGTGCTAACAAGGAGCATACTGATAGGAGGAGAAAGGAGAGACAGAGAGATGAGCTCATCAGTCTGCTCCTTTTGCTTTCACTGTCCAGTTAGAGGCAAGGAAGGGACACGACCTGTAAGTCTTACTGAACTGCAGGAGAGGAAAAAATAGGTATCCTGTCAGTTGTGCTGCAGTGCTAATGTGCCAACAAGGAATGTGCTGATAGGAAGACAGATCAGAGTGGCAGAGAGACGAGCTCATCAGTCTGCTGCTTATCCTTTCACTGTCCAGTCACAGGCTGGGTGGGGGACAAGACCTGTAATTGTTACTGAACTGCAAGAGAGAAAAATTAGGTATCCCGCCAGTTAGCTGCAGTACTCATGTTGCAACGAGGAAGGTGCCGATAGAGAGCAGAGTGACAGAGAGATGAGCTCACCACTCTGCTGCTTCTCCTTTTACTGTCCATTCACAGGCTGGGGGAGGGGCAAGACCTGTAAGTGTAGCTGAACTGCAGGAGAGAAAAATTAGGTCCCCTGCCCTGCCAGGCAAGGCTGTGCCAAGTGACCGAGCTGTGAAAATCTCACGACTGCATGAAAATGTATTGTATGTGTATTTCATCTGTGTATTTAGCAGTTTTCCTGAACTTCACCTTAACCTAAAACTTACCCTTATATTCAACCTTAGGGTTAGGGGGTTATCGTTATATTTAAGGACAGCAAAAAAAAGACAAAGGTACTGGTGGTTTCAGACACTCACCTTGGCAACGGTGGCATTTGGCCCAACAGGTCCCGTTGGCGACGAGTGGTTGTCGAGGGGCAGCTGGCAAGGGTGACTTTGGGGGTTGGCCACATCCTGGAAGTCTTTTTCATTCTCCTTCATGTGTGGATTAGACCAAAAAGAAAAGTCTAAGATGACAGTCATGGCGAAGAAAGGCCCGGGGATTTATGAGAGTTATTTATTGTCCTATTTGTCTCCATTCTGCTGCAGTTACTCAAGGCTGCTTGGAAGGCGCACAAAAAGTGTCCTATATCGCAGAATTCTATTAAGGTACGTCACGGTCCTTCATAGAGAAGTTTGCTGGTTTTACGGATTTCTTGAGCTAAATGACAAATGAACGAGGGCCAAGTGCATCCAGGAGAGAGGTGACCATATCTGGAGATGGGTCTCCGCTGCCAAAAATCGAGCCATTATTGAATTAAACACTGCGTAATTTGTTGGATAATTGAGCTGAAGACTGCAACTTATTGGTGTTCTATCACCTGAGGCACAGGGGTAACTGGATATTCTTGCAGCGTGCTGGAAAAAGAACATTTGGAGAAGCCTTCGGGAGCTGGAGGCTTCACCTACCATATCGCTTTCACCCGCAGAGATCCGATGTATCCCAAAACAGTCAAAGTGACACTAAACCCTGGAGTGAAATCTTAAAAATACATTTGTGTATCTTAACTATGAACAACAATGTCTCTTATTTGTGTATCACTCGGCTGTAGATCCTCCAATCATCTCTGAATTGGTGCTGACACTGTCCTTGCTTCGGGAGGGGGGCTATGTCTGTTCCCCATGGTCCCTGCGTGTGTGTTGTAAAGTAGTCACCGCTCCAAGCTCGCCCCCGGGATGGACTACAATCTCAATACAAATTAGTAAACTAAACATGAGATTGTAGTCTATCCCGGGAGTGAGCTTGGAGCGGTGACTACTTTACAACACACACAGGGACCATGGAGAACACAAGTAGCCCCCCTCCAGAAGGAAGGACAGTGTCAGCACCAATTCAGAGATGATTGGAGTATCTACAGCCGAGTGATACACAAAGAAGATACATTGTTGTTCATAGTTGAGGTACTTGAATGTATTTTTAAGATTTAACACCAGAGTTCAGTGTCACTTATGGTTATGGTAACCATTAGGAGAGTCCTCCAGCATCCTGTATTTTAGGAGAGGAGTGCTAGGTAGTGGAAGGAGCAGAGTCCTCCAGCAGAACAGAGTATTTCAGGAGAGGAGAGTTATAGAGGAAGGCGCAGAGTCCTCCAGCAGAGCAGAGTATTCCAGGAGAAGAGAGTTACAGAGGAAGGAGCAGAGTCCTCCAGGGGAGCAGAGTATTTCAGGAGAAGAGAGTTATATAGAAGAAGGAGCAGAGTCCTCCAGCAGAGTATTTCAGGAGAAGAGAGTTACAGAGGAAGGAGCAGAGTCCTCCAGGGGGAGCAGAGTATTTCAGGAGAAGAGAGTTACAGAGGAAGGAGCAGAGTCCTCCAGGGGAGCAGAGTATTTCAGGAGAAGAGAGTTATATAGAAGAAGGAGCAGAGTCCTCCAGCAGAGCAGAGTCAGGAGAGGAGAGTTATAGAGGAAGGCGCAGAGTCCTCCAGCAGAGCAGAGTATTTCAGGAGAGGAGAGTTATAGAGGAAGGCGCAGAGTCCTCCAGCAGAGCAGAGTATTTCAGGAGAGGAGAGTTATAGAGGAAGGCGCAGAGTCCAGCAGAGCAGAGTATTCCAGGAGAGGAGAGTTATAGAGGAAGGAGCAGAGTCCTCCAGCAGAGCAGAGTATTTCAGGAGAGGAGAGTTATAGAGGAAGGAGCAGAGACCAGCAGAGCAGAGTATTTCAGGAGTGCGGCAGGTTTCCTGTGATGGGAGGTCTGCAGTACTGTGGCATTGATGCTGCTAGAACCTTCTAGACCAGAACGCGAGTCTCAATGATGTAAACGCCCCTGCTGAAATCTAATTTCACCAAATATCACATTGTAAAGAGTTAAGCATGAACTCAGAAGCCTGAAGTCTGTCCCGCAATCAGCCATTTTCATAACAGACTAATCTGAGAGAGCTCATAAAATACGATTCGGAAACCAGCGTGACAGAGGCGACAATTCTTTAATCTGCACAGTGTCTGGAAAATGACACACGCCTTAAGATTCCGGCTGTGCGCGGAGAACAGGCCACGAGGGCGGACGCAGTTGGCAAGCGGAGAGCATTAAATCTCCCGGGGACATTTCACCTAAATCAGGATTTCTACAAATTCTGTCCAGTTCGGCTACCGACACGACATCTGTTAAAGGGAACTGACGACTAATCGTGACAAACAGCCGAGGAAAAAAAACTTTACTAAAGCCTTGACTGTAACTCCGAAAAATTGATAGTAGAGACATTTAGACTTGGACACATATATTATCATTATAGATTACTTTAGTGACGGAGATATCCTGTATCTAATGTGCCATGAAATAAATCATGAGATCTACGGAGCACCAATTCCAAATGTTTAGATGATACTTCACATCTGGAACAGTCTACAAAACACAAAGCGGGTTATTCACTATAGAGCCGAAGGATCCAGCCGTAGCTTCAGCTGATCCTTTGGCTCACTTCAGCCGCATGAGACCTTCAGTTCAGTGGAACCGAAGGGCTGCTGTACGGGCTATTCACAGTAGCCCGTACAGCAGCCGAGCGGCTCAGCCGACCTGAACGCATATGCTTCAGGTCGGTTGAGCCGTAGTGACACCCGAAGAAAGGGCTGACCGTTCTTCACGCAAATGACAGCTGGG